TTTTTACCCTTTTTAATCTGGTTCTAATTTCTTCATATTGTTGTAATTTTAAATATTTATATGAATTTCACATACTGTTATTGAAGTTGTAAACATCTGGATCCAGTAGTTTTGGTTATACAGTTTATATCTTCTGTACAGTTTTTTATCCTCTGTGATGATTGTAGAGCTTTTTATAGACTTTGTATCAGCAGTGTGTATTTATATCCCTTTTAATAAAGTTTTTTACTCAATAGAACCGCATATTATCTCTAATTAACACCATACATACCATTAACATACTCAGGCCTGATACACTTTGTATAACACATTAACAAATGTTTACTTACAAATATCTTAACACCAGCTGCCCTTACCTGGCACTGAAAACCCAGAATATTTACACGCAACATGAAGCTTCAAGTTTGTTGTTCTGGTCCAAAACAAACAGCAGCCAACAAATCCAACAGTTAGTTTAAATATTCTGATTTGAGCTCGTGGTGCAGGGAAAGGTATGAGCAGAAAGCAATCAGCACTTCCCTCACTGCAACAGGAGCACATTGTGCCTCACTGGCAGAAACCTCCTGTCTGACCTCATGCTTCAATAACTCCACACAATTAAAGTGTTTGCTCGTTAAATGCACTGGGGACCGGTGTGTGTGTGTGTGTGGACATCGAAGGCAGCACATTCACACACACACATCAGCCACGCTCCGCGGTCCAGTGCACTTTAGACTAGTCAAAGCTACTTTAAATGTGCTCTGGGATGTATGAGGCCAGTTAGGTGCAGACAGCGGAGTTTCTGCCCAGTAGCAGCAGCAGATTGTGCTCTCTTTGCACGTGAGGACGTTGTTCCAGGTGTATGCTCTCGGCGCTTGGCACACCCTTTCGCGCACCACGGAGCTCAAATGCATGAAGTCATTAAAACGATACTGTTGGATTGTTGGCTGGCCGTTGTTTTGGAGCCAGAACAATCAGAACGTTGAAGGGCGTCAGTTCGTGGTAGAGATATGCGTGGTCGTTTCTAGGCCAGGTGAATCGGGCAGCTGTTGTTAAGATATTGGTGTGAATAAACAGTTGTGTGTCAATTTTGGTATAGTGCAACAGCGCGGGGGTGTGATGATCAGGCTCTGAGTATGTTAGAGGCGGGGTGTATGCTCTCACGTGTGTTACTTAGGTCAGAAGGAGCTACTCCATTTATGGCGGGCGTCTATTGATGTAAAAAATTTATTATAACAAGGGATATAGAATATACTACACTGCTATACAAAGGGTCTATAAATAAAGCACTTCGTACAATCAGCAGCAGAGGATAAAGAAAATTCTCTCTGCTGT